GGGATCCCTGGTTGGGGTTCCCGGGTTGGGGTTCCCGGGATGGGATCCCTGGTTGGGGTTCCCGGGTTGGGATCCCGGGATGGGGTTCCCGGGTTGCGGTTCCCGGGATGGGGTTCCCGGGATGGGATCCCTGGTTGGGGTTCCCGGGTTGGGGTTCCCGGGATGGGGTTCCCGGGATGGGATCCCTGGTTGGGGTTCCCGGGTTGGGGTTCCCGGGATGGGTTCCCGGGATGGGATCCCTGGTCGGGGTTCCCCCGTTGGGGTTTCCCGGGCCGGGATTCCCGCCCAGCCCTTTGGCCCCGCCCCCCTGACGTGACGCCGCCGTGCCCCGCGCGGCCACCGTCGGGCAAGATGGCGGCGGGCAGCGACAGCGAGGAGGAGGAGGACCTGGTGAGCTACGGAGCGGCGCTGCAGCCCCTGCAGGAGGGTAAGGACCCTCCCCGCCCCGCCGCGCCTTCTGCCGGGCCCTGCGGAGCGGCCCCGCGGCGGGTGCTGGTGTTCTACAGGGCCCAGGCCTGTTCGCGGCCTTGGCTGGGGGAGCTGTGGCGTGTGGGCCCCACGCAGACACACCTGTCCTGCCTCCTCTTCCTCCTCTTCTTCCCTTGCCTCCCCTGCCTCCCCCTGCCCCGGCAGCCGTGGTGGACTGCAAAAAGGTCTGGCTCGGCCTGGGGACGGAGCGGGGAAAGGCCCTGCCGGCACAACCCGGGCTGAGCTGGGCTGTCCCTGCCCTGCGGGGAGCTGGGGACCAGCCTGTCCTTCTGTCCTTTCTCTAAGCCTCAAAAAGAGAGGAGAAAATAGAGTTCGAGTGTAACTCTTCAGGTGCACGCAGTTATGCTAATAAGACCGTTCTGTGCCTATATTTGTGTATTCACCTTATGTATTTGTATATTCACTAGCCCAAGGGCTAATGTGCGGCCGTGACTCCCAAGTCTGTGCTGCTTTATGCAAGAAGTACTATTTAAAAGGTGTAAATGGTCGTATCAAAGTCTATAGCTTTCGTGGTTCATTTCAGTTTTGGACACATCTGGTGTGTAATTTCTCAAGCAGTTACCCAAGTGATGAAATCCTGCCAGGGGTCTTGTGTGCCTAAAAAATAAATGCCCTTTCATAGGAAACGAAGATTGTTCTCAGAACTCGTCAGAGTTAAGGGGTTTGATGTGAACACAGTGCTTTTCCTTTGGCAGTGTGCATCAGCAGTGTATGCAAAGAGTTAAAGTGGGGTGGAAATAGATGTGAACTGATGCTTTCCACTTCAGGGTGGCCACTGTTTGATCCATTCTTACCTGCAAGGAAGAAGCAGCTTCTGGAGGGAGTGGAGGGTCCCTTCTTCATGCAGTGTTGTGTCTCATTTTGGGATGTGTTTGGTCGTAGGTGAACGGATTAAGAAGCCAGTTCCTCTTCAAGAGCAGACGGTGAAGGATGCAAAGGGGCGATATCAGCGTTTCCACGGGGCCTTTACTGGGGGCTTTTCTGCTGGTTACTTCAACACCGTGGGCACAAAGGAAGGTTGGATGTTTTTCTGTCTGAATTGTTTTCAAACACTGTGCTGCCTTAAGTACCTTACTTAAACATTTCCCTTCTTTAAAGGATGGACGCCCTCAGCTTTTGTCTCCTCACGGCAGAAGAGAGCAGACAGAACCACTCTTGGACCAGAAGACTTCATGGATGAGGAGGTAAATTTGGAAAGGAATAGAAGACTTTTGTAAATGCTTTCCGTGACAGCAGGTTTTTCAGGTGATAAAATCTTCTGAAGAACTTTAATAGCAAAAACTGAAGTAACTTTAAGAGGACTTCTTGTATGCAGTGTTATACTGCTGGGTCGTAAAGACTGTTTCGTAGGTTCACTTAAGAAGCTCCTGTACTGTCAATATTAAAAAAATAAACCCAGAACTGAACCCTTTCACTCTGTTGGAAAAGGCAAATACTTCTGAAACTGTTTAAAATATGTCCATTCAAGTAATTAAAAAACCCCTTTCTAAATGATTGAAGGAAATTAGCCCACATGAAGGTCATATCCCTTTCCTTTAGTATTACAGTAAGTAAGAATTTGAGGGGTGTTTAATTTTAATTTTTTTTTTTTTTGTATTTTGTGTGTATTTTCCAGGATCTTAGTGAATTTGGGATAGCACCGAAAGATATTACAACCACAGATGATTTTGCATCCAAAACTAAAGACAGAATAAAAGAGAAAGCCAGACAGATTGCAGGAGTAGTTGCTGCCATTCCAGGAACCACCGCATTCGATGATTTAATAGGACCCTCTAAGT